TCGAAAAGGGGGTGTTTAGCGGTTCACTTTTTGTTCCTCTCCCCTCAAACTCAATCCTTATCCAAAGCCGAGTTTTTGCCTTATTCCGGCGAATCGGTATCGGACAAGCTCTTCTTAATAACTATTGTATTACGATGAACGCCTGCGAATTATTGTAATCATTGATTTTGCAGGAGCCGTGCGTGCCAATATCAATTGGATCGTGAGAGTTTACTGTTGATTTTGCAGGAGCCGTGCGTGCCAATATTAATCCAGGGAACAAACTTGAAGCTTGAAATGGCTCTGGAATGCAATAGGTTTGAAGGCCTTGGTGTCTTAATGGACTTCACTAAAAAGAAGAGGACTTGGGTGCATATGAACTTGGTGGCGAGAGTGGGCCCCGAAGAGGAATTACTCGTTTTCTTTGCCGAGTTCTATTTATCGGATGATGAGTATGTGCTTGCGACGTTGGCACTGGTGAATCCTTCTGACTGTGAGCCTGTTAGTAAAAAGGATGGTAAATAAAAACTTCTGGTTGCAATTATACAAGTCTTTATTTATTTATTGCGTTGTTATTCTTGTCTTATTTTTCTTGTCAACATGTTAATATTATTCTTAAAGATAAAAATTATTTGTGATTCTATGCAGGGTTGTGGTGTCGTTTCTGCCCTGATACTATTCTTCATCCAATGGAAGGATGTTTTTCATCTTTCTATCCACCTGATGCTGCACTTGAAAATTCTGAGGAAAACTAAATTATGCTTCGACAAATTATGGTTTTGACATACTAAAAGGTTACTCGTTATAGTTAGTCTGACTGATTATAATTGTGAATGGTATGCTTTTGTCAAATGGACTCTGAATGAAACAATTTGCGAGCCATTTGTTGTTATGTATTATGTGTGGCTAAATAATTTTATATTTATGCTGTGATGAGATTATTGGTTGCTTGATTATCCGTCGGCCCTTTTCTCCGTATGTCTTGTTGTTTTATTTTTCGTCCATCTAATAATTTTGTCGTGTCTATCAAATGAATGTTTAGAATCGTAATCAAGGTAAATGGAAGAGAGTAGGATATTTGGAGAAAGACCTCCTTTAGTTAGTTTCATGATTTCATCAGACATTGTTTATGTGTGTGGCTCAATTTTGTTTTAGCTTATTATTTGTCATAAATGTCCAAGTGAGGATAGGGTTGGAGGGAGTTGAAAAT